AAATCTAGGGTTTTTTGCTTTAATCTTCAGGGGGATTCCCTTCTTTGTTGGTGTGATGGGGTGTTGTGATGAGTGTCTTGTTACTCATCATGTTAAGGATCCAGTGATGGTACCTGTGTGCCATTGTGCTGATTGTTTTCATGGTCTTCAAATATTCCTTGAGCCTAAGACTTCCCGTCACCACAAAGCTATATCATCTATGGGGCCTTGGTGGAGCAGAAGTGTGTAATCAGAAAGATTCACAATGCTGTAGATTGGGTCCATGGTCCTATTTTTTGTTGTGGGATGTGGACAGCTGCTATAAATAAGTTCTCTCTCCTGAAGTTTTTCTCGTTCTGTGATTATTATTGCCCAGTGTACAGTCCAGAGGTTTGGCTCTATAGAAGTGGTTCAAGTTCCGAAATTTCTTTACCATGTTTGCTATATAGAACCCTGATGAGGTGCTATAGTAATTCTTTTTGAGAGAGTATTGCATATAGTCTGCTCAGTATATAGATTACAAGGACTTCTTCTGCAGTGACCTTTTGCTTCTGTGTCTGGTTTATGGTCCAAGTCAAACTAAAGCAGATCTGAGCAAAGTGCGGCCCACGGGCCGCTCCTGTCTAGCCCGCCGGTAGTCGCTCCAGTCCGGCCCGCCCGTCGCCACTGAGTGAGCTGGAGCTCCAGTTCCAGTCACCCAGCACAGCAGTAAGCAAAACTCACAAGATCCAACGCTGGGATCTCGTGAGTTTTGACTGTTGCTCTTGAACCGCAGGCTGCAGAGCCTATGGCTCAAGAGGCTGGAAGTGATCCTTGCACAGGCAACGTGATGACGTATCACGTCGCCTGGGCGGGATAGAAGACAGTCGGAGAAGAAGGCCGTGGGGAAATGGAGGACAGGTGAGTTAGGTCAGTGTCCGTTTTTTTTCTCCCCCTCTCCCCCACCCATGGTGAACGAATTACAATGCTCACATAGTTAACTCCCTAAAAAGTTAGTTAACTCCCTAAAAAGTTTGGGGAGTTAACTATGTCAGCCTTGTAGTTTGTTCACCGCAGGGCCTCACCCAATGGGGGCCTATTACTACCCACAAATTGGGGGCCTATTACTACCCACCTTTCATTTTATTTTTAAATAAAGTTGGTTCAGCCCCCCGAACACAGTTCAGATTTTTCATGTGGCCCCCTATAGAAATTAATTGCCCACCCCTGAACTAAAGGATAGTTTCTTTTTCCATTAGATAGAAAATAGTATCAGGTTGTTTTAATGTCCCTGTTAGTACATGCTAGATTTTATTTTTATTTATTTATTTATTAGATTTCTATCCCATCCTTTTAGACAAAGTCTACTCTGGGTGGGTATGTTGGTACATAATAAGAACCAATCAGGATAGAGTTTATGAAGGTGTCTAAATGGATAGTTAAGCCATAGACATGGTTAAGTATGAACTCCATAAAGGGAGGAAGCAATACTGCTCCTGCCCCAAAAGCAGTTCTGTCCTGTATAATTCTGTGGCGTGCTCTATTGAAAGCAGATTCAACTGATTCTGTTTTGTCTGTCTCCAAAATAAATAGCAAAACTTCATATTTCAAACTTATGAGACTTCTACAGCCACTAAATACTTGTACACTGTCAAACATTGATGGTAAATTTGAAAACAACTTAATTTCTTAAATTTTAAACATTAGAGAACCCAAGTACTGCTGTAGAATATATGAAGACAGAGTGTCGCTCTCTGCTATGATGATTCCTCCCCCAACCTCCTTCCACAATGAAAATGAATGAGATTTAATTTTCCCCACATCTGATCTCTCAATGAAAATGTCCATGAATATGCCTGATTATTTTTCCAGAAAACCAAAAGGGAAAGAGAACGGAGGGAGGGGGATCACTCTTCATTTTCTGCATTGCATTCATAATGTTATAGATTTTTCTCATGTATCCCTTTCCTTTCACTCGTCTTTTTCTTAAAACTAAAAAAATCGTGGATACAGTGGAGATAAAAAGTTTACACACAGCTGTTAAAATGTCAGATGTCTGTGATATTAAAAAATGAGACAAAGATAAATCATTTCAGAACTTTTCCCACCTTTAATGAGACATATGAACTGTACAACTCAGTTGAACAACAAACTGAAATGTTTTAGGTGGAGGGAAAAAACTCTGAAATAATATGGTTGAATTTGCGTGCACACCCTTAAACTAATACAGTGGTGCCTCGCACAATGAGCGCCCCGTAGAGCGATGAATTCGCTCTACGGGGACGTTTTTTCGATCGCTAATACGATCGCAGAGCGATGGCCCCAATGGGCGAAAATCGCAGAGCGAAGGTCGGTAAGCAGTTCGCTTACCGACCTTCGCTTTGCGATCCGCCGATCAGCTGTTCCGTGGCTTCAAATGGCCGCCGGAAGCCCCAAAACGGCAGCGCGCAGCGTTTTGCGCCCTCGTTCAGCGAGGGGAGGGCGCGAAAATGGCTGCCGGCCATAGAGGAACATCGCTGTACGGTGAGTAAATCAGCCGACTGGAACGCATTAAACTAAGTTTAATGCATTCCAATGGCTTTTTTCTTTCCGCACAGCGATGTTTCACACAGCGAGGGTTAATCTGGAATGGATTAACCTCGCTATGCGAGGCACCACTGTACTTTGTTGAAGCACCTTTTAATTTTATTACAGCACTCAGCCTTTTTGGGTATGAGTCTATCAGTATGGCACATCTTGACTTGGCAATATTTGCTCACTCTTCTTTGCAAAAATGCTCCAAATCTATCAGATTGCAAGGGCGTCTCCTGCGCGCAGTCCTCTTCAGATCACCCCACAGATATTCAATCAGATTCAGGTCTGGGCTCTGACTGGACGATTCCAAAACGTTAATCTTCTTCTGGTGAAGCCATTCCTTTGTTAATTTGGATGTATGTTTTGGGTTGTTGTCATGCTAAAAGATGAAGTTCCTCCTCATGTTCAGCTTTTTAGCAGAAGCCTGAAGGTTTTGTGCCAATATTGACTGGTATTTGGAACTGTTCATAATTCCCTCTAGCTTGACTAAAGTCCCTGTCCCAGCTGAAGAAGAACAACCCCAAAGCATGATGCTGCCACCACCATGCTTCACTGTGGGTATGGTGTTCTTTTGGTGATGTGCAGTGTTGTTTTTGTGCCAAAAATACCTTTTTGACACAAAAACAAATCTTTTGGCCCAAATCTTTTGGAATTAGGGCTGAAAAGTTCAACCTTGGTTTTATCAGACCATAACACTTTTTCCCACGTGCATTTGGGAGACTTCAGATATGTTTCTGCAAAATTTAGCTGGGCTTGGATGTGTTTTTTCATAAGAAAAGGCTTCTGTCTTGCCACTCTACCCCATAGCACATACATATGAAGAATACGGGAGATTGTTGTCACATGTACCACACAGCCAGTACTTGCCAGATATTCCTGCAACTCCTTTAATGTTGCTGTAGGCCTCTTGGCAGCCTCCCTGACCAATTTTCTTCTAGTTGTTTCATCAATTTTGCAGGGACATCCAGTTCTTGGAAATGTCACTGTTGTGCCATATTTTCTGCACTTGATGATGACAGTGACTGTCTTCACTGTGTTCCACAGTATATCTAATGCCTTGGAAATTCTTTTATACCCTTCTCTTGACTGATACCTTTTAACAATGAGATCCCTCTGATGTTTTGGAAGCTCTCTGCAGACCATGGCTTCTGCTGAAGGATGTGACTAAGAAAATGTCAGGAAAGACCTACGACCATGTTTCCCCGAAAATAAGGCAGAGTCTTATATTAATTTTTGCTCCAAAAACGCATTAGGGCTTATTTTCAGGGAGTGTTTTTTTTCCCATATTGAACAATGTATATTTATTCAAATACAGTCATGTCATCTTCTTCTGGCTGCTACACAATGGTGGAGGGCGGGGGTTCACTTAACTGGGGCTTATTTTGGGGGTAGGGCTTATATTATGAGTGTCCTGAAAAATCATACTAGGGCTTTCTTTTCAGGTTAGAGCTTATTTTCGGGGAAACAGGGTAGCACAGCTGATCTTTATTTGGGATTCCTCAGTAGCACTTTAAATCAGGCTTGTCCAACCTGCGGCCCGAAGGCCACATGCGGCCCAGGTCAGCTTATAATGCGACCCAGTGCAAT